TCTAAATCAGTGAATGTTTTCATGATATGGGCATGGTTATGTCTCGTTTGTGATCATGTATGAAGAAATATATGCTCACGGACTCCAGAGGTGTCCTGAACTATTTACTGGAATTTAGCACTTGAAGTTGTAATTGATTTAGCACTAATTGTTCTACAAATGACTTACTAAAAAATCATAAAAGCTACCTTTGTGCTATGTGAAGATCTAACTGGAAAAAAAAAACAATGAATACTTCTTCAATGAGCAGATCAGTTGAAATTAAATGCTTCATATAATCGTGCCATCATTGCTGAAAACTTAATTTTTAAGAGGCTGAAGACACTAAGGAGATGACAAATTCAGGTAGTGTCAAACATCCCATTTCAAAATTTTTTGAATGAAATGTTTTGGTACTTCCTTTCAGGGTGTCTTTTCTTTTCAAAAGATTAGTTTTAATACTTAATTTTCTATCTTTTTTATTCCCTTCAGGAAGTGTCAGGTTATACCAAAATCCTGTGTTTTAAAGGTCAGGCCTGTATATCTGTACAATAAGCCTCTCTGTTATACCTTAAGAAAATATTTGTTCTTTTGGTTCTAATGTTCAAGTTCTTCTCATTATCTTGATCATTTGTGAACCACAGTGAAAAGCAGCATCCTGCCTTGCATGGCTAGTGAAGGCGATTTCCCCTCTTCCCTTCCCTGTTTTTTATTTAAGCACAAAAAAAATGATTTTCCCCCCAAATGCTGCAGGTTTACTTTATTCCTTTTTCTTTCACACTTACAGTCTAAAGACCAGGTGCTTTAGTAAGACAGGAAGCAAACAAGAAAATAATACTTGTTGGGTCTCAAGGAGGCTCCCAGCCTCCTGGAGGCGCAGGCAGCGGAGGCAGCTCGGAGGCCAAGAGCAGCATTCCAGGTGCTCAGAGCTTTTTCTGAAACTTGCAAGGACATGTGCGTGGGATATAACCACAAAGCATGTGTGGTTGTGAGCTGAAAGAATAAGTGGAAGAAAGTCCTAGAGCAAGTTTTGTGGGATGCTTTTTATTTTTTATTTTTCCCTCTATTTGTCAACTGTATGTGGTCATAGCTATGCCCAACTGGGACTCTATTTCTGATTGTCTGGGCACCTGCAACGCACCTCATTGGCACCGGTTACCTTCCCTTCGGGATAAATTAAATGGGCGGGGTGTTCTTGTTAGTTTGTTGGTTTTACAGAATTTAAATGTGCATCGCAGGAGAGATGTGCATATCCTCTTTGTGCAAATGGTATCGCTGTAAGATAAAATTTCCTGTGGTAAGCATAAAACAGTGCTTATGTAAGCTGGAAACCCTGAAGCATGAGATTGTATATAAAATGTCTGCTAATAAATTTGTGATGACTGTAATAGTTTAATAGAAAGTCCATAGGAAAGGAGAAATAAAACATTTGATTCTGAAATACTACTAGCCCACAACAATCAAAGTAACTGAAGTGCTGAGGCTTAGGGCAGTTTAATGAATGTAGTATAATAAAGTGTTGGATGTGAGAAGAACACGTAGATATGAAAGAAGTGAGTGGTGTTGGGTGAGATCACTTTTTCGGACTGCCCTGAGGAAGCCTGCTAAGCGTGCAGCTGGAGTTACTCTGGTGCACCATGCACAGAGATGCTCACGAGCATCTCCCAGTGGGCTGGCGCTCAGTGCAGCTGGCTCAGGCTTCCCCTGACGTGCCCCTTGCCTTGAGGTTTGTTCTGCTGGGGCTGTCATGCTTTAACGTCTTGCTCCTGTCTCAAGAGCTGGGACCTGGGCTCCCAGGCGTGTGGCCTGGGGTGCAGGACTTTTGGCTCTGCTGTGAGCCCCGTGTGCCGGGCTGAGGGGCTTGGTGCAGCTGCAGGGGGTGCATTGCATCGGGGGAGCACTGGGCTGGGCTGAGCACACCTCACACCTGCCTGTGAGCAACACATTTTAGCTGGAATGTGAAAAAGAGAACAGCCATTCTTTCTGCAGGCCTGCTTTTATCCTCTGCCTGGCAAGTTTTGTCAGATTGACTCCTCCTCAGGCACTGAACAGACCAGCATGAAAGAACAGGTGTAAATTTGTCACACGTGGTGTCATTGTCCCCACTGCAAAGATCCTTCTGAGCACCAATGAGTTACAGATGAAGCAGAGCTTTTTCTTTCCTTTTTTTTTTTTTTTTTCTTTTTCTTTTTCTTTTTCTTTTTCTTTTTCTTTTTCTCCCCTTCTTGCCTAAATAAAGCATGTTACCTAGTGTTGCACCATGGCTCCTCCATGGGCTCCTTGGTGCTGGAGTTCGTTCCCCAGCAGTGGGTCCTGCTGCAGCCCAATTAAAGCACTACCCAACTGCTCGCAGCCTTTCCACTCCTTCAAAGGGACTGGGACTGATCTCAGCCCGGAGAAAAGTCACTGAGCCAGCGTCTGCACAGCTCTTTGGGTACAGAGCAGTCCCCACTCTTGTGATAGACATCAGAGATGTCTAACTGCCGAGCACGTTTCTCTTCTCATGCCTGTGCAGAGACAGGTGGAGAATGGATTGCGGTCTAACTACTGAGCAGTTTGAGGTCCCGTATTGTTAGCTGTTGCATTCAGGTTGACTCATTCCAGGATTATGTAGGCATTTTATTCACTGTGTTACTATTGGAAAGTACTTTCTGCATAGGCTTGGAATACAAAACTGAAAATATTCTGATTGTAAACCGTCTAAGATAATATGAAGTGTTTTGTAAAAGGTCCTGTCTGTGTAACACTAATTCTGCAACTGCAAAAGCCGTAGCAAGTGTTAAACTTGTTCCTGTTACCGTGTAAATGTTTTTGGTAACAGCCAAAATTGCGATTCTCATCACAAAAAAAGTCTGTAGTCTGTCTTCTCTTCATACTTAAGTTTTCACTAGTTGTAGATCAGTCTTTTACTGCATTATTGCAGGATGTTTCAGGTATTTTCTCCAAGATTATGACAATCCAAGAATTTCAGAGGCGTAGGTGGCTTTATACTCTGTTGAAAGCAGAGGAAGGAGCCAGAGCTTGTGCTATTTCCTTGCTCTGCTGCACCTCAAAGGAGCTGTCGCCGAGGGGCACGTGGATGTCGAATCAATCTATGCTGAGGACTCCAGCAGCTGGGGCGTTGGGTCTGTGGCTTTGTTACCCTCATGTCTCTGTTCTGCCCAGGTCCCCATGCTGGGTTTTTGAGGCACAAATGGGGATCTGATTTTCATTTTTAAATGGCTCAGAGAACCAGTCCAAGTGGGACTGCTTTTGCCTTAAGAGCAAAAATAATTTACCTAACAAGCAGGTTTCTCTCTCACAGTTTTTAGCCTTCCATTTAAAAATCTAGTATGTTGCCATTTTTTCTCCTTTTTTCTTTTTTCTCTTTTTTTTTTTCTCTTTTTTTTTTTTTCTCTTTTTTCTCTCTCTCTCTCTTTTTTTTTTTTTTTTTTCCCCCGTTCTCCTTGCTAGCTCCTGGCAATGTGAGGAGCTTTGAAACACAAATATTTATGGACAAGGCAGCGTTTGGATTAGAGAAAGAAGAGTCTGAGATCAGCTGCATTGCTTATCTTTTTAAGAGAATCAGTATTAAGAGCATGGGAATATTCTTAAGATAATATCCTACAGCTCTGGTTCCACAGAACACACTTGATTAAAAAGAAGCCCAAAGAAAGAAGAGGTTCCTTTTACAGCTTCCTGCAAAGATGCACAATTTGGCACCATTTCTCAGTCTCTTGGCAACATGTCCAAGCCTGAGAAAAAACGGCTATGAATACACACAGCCACAAAATATGATTGTTAGAGCAGCAGCTGAGCGCCCGCTGGGCTTGGGGCACGGCTGGGCTGGGTTGGGGCACGGGTCCCTTGCACACACCGCAGGGCAGCAGCTGCTGGACCCCATCCTGCCGAAATCCAGGTAAAATGTGCCCACCCTCTGGGAATCAATTTGTATTTGCTCCCTGGGCTAACAGAGAACTCTTTCCTGAGCTCAGCCAGTCCAGAACCTCGCAGGCACATTTTAGATTAACTTTTAGAAAAATAATAAAAATAATGGCCCGGCTAATTAATGCCCTAGGAATTCTATAGAAGGCCTTGTGACACCTACATTAATACCAAATGAGTTCATTATGATTAATGTTATTAAAATAAATGTCGTGGGAATGAATAATGGCTTGGTCATTATTTTAAAGTGTTGCCACTGGATCTATAAAAGCTAATGATTCAATTCTTGGGAAGTAATTCTGCATGTTCTCATCTAAAACCTGTGGAGAACTCAAGCCTTTCTGAGGGAAAAAAAAAAAAGCCATGAAAAGAACATGAAAAGATGTGTGGATATTCTCTGAAAAACTGACAGAATGTGTTGTGGCTTCAGAAAGGTCTGGTGTCCCCATTACTGAAAGGTGGGAAGAGAGTTCCTCTGACTACAAAATGTCTTTGTGCTTGCCAATGGCTTTGGAATTGTTCATGCTGATTTGAATCAGGTTTTGATCAGGCTAGTTCACCTACCAGCCAAAATTCCTCCAGTCCTAAAAATGTGTTCTGCTCATTCAAAACAATAGAAACTTAGGCAGAATGGCAGAAATAAGAATTTTGCTGGGCTGTAAGAGGTGCTCTGAAATTGATATTGATGTAAATGGTCTGCTTTTCGCTATTAGGTTACATACTCAAATTGCTGTCTTTTCATTATTCACCTCTTACATTGATTTTCCAAACACACTTTCAGCACAGTAGTCTTACAAACGTAAGCTCATCTTTAAAAAAAAAAAAAAAAAAGTTTAGAAAAAGCTAAGAATGAAAATAGTTATTTACATTATTGATATTTTAAATCCCATTTATTTTCCTCACGGTGGCTTTTACCTATGCAAATCTTTTTAGCACCTGGTGAAGCCTTGAGAGGCGTTCCTTGGAAGCTTGATTACAGTCTCTGTTGGAATAAAATATTTAGCAAAGAGATGCTCCCATGCTTTTCAGTTACTCCTTAGTGAATTATCTCTGTTAACGTACTCGAAGGCATCCTGTTTTGTCCGCTCTTTCTGCAGGTGGCCCAGCCCGGGACAGCTCTGCCCAGCTCAGCCTGGCCTGGAGGTGATGCTGGCCCATGGGGAGCCATAAAGCAACCCAGCATGGGAGGAAGGGGACCCATATCTGACCTAGAGCATTGCCAAAGCGAGGCCGTGAAGTTTAAGAGGTACGTCTTGCTGTGGAGTTCAAGGCACTGAGGGTGGAAGAAATGTAAAGGCATTAAATTTATGTAATTTATATAATTATTTTCAAAGCAATGCATTTGCCTGGTCACAGAACTATTTTAACTGCAGTGACGTAAGGTCTAACTAATGAAATGACATTGGGAGAAGAGGTACAAATCTGCAGAGTGTGCATTTTACTGCTGTGAGGTAACTGCTGCAGCGGGGCAGCAGCACGCCTTAACCCTGGCAACACCACTGTCATCTGAGCAGAGAGAAAGTCAGTGTGAAGAGGGAAAGAAATCCAGCTGGACTTACACGACTGCTTCCATTGAGGAGCCAGCTATCACGGCTACAGTGGGCAGTGTTACAAAAACGTCAGCTCAGTGCTCAGAGGTGCTCACACAACAAGCAAGGAGCAGGAAATCAAGAAAGGAAAAGAACATAGAAAACATGGCCATGCCTTTGATGCATCTTGAATAGTCCTGTAGTAAGAGACTCTGAAAGTACAAAAGGTATGGAGAAGGTTATGGAGGATGAAGGGTATGGATTTATTTACTTTTTTAGTATATCTATTTTTATTTTTTTTTAGGAACATCTGAACGGATAAAGGCTTCACAGCCTTGAAAAGCTATGGCTGACGGGACTATAAGAGGGATCTATAAAATCCTGGATGTCATGGAGAGGACTGGTAGGAAACAATAATTTTCTGTTTCCAGCTGCAGAACTGGAAGCTACTGAAGATAACTGGCAGTGTTCAGATTCAGACAAACCAAAGGGAACGGTTCTGGAGGATGTGCTATCACTGCAGGACTTCCAGAGGGCGAAGGCTGTCATGGCTTCAAGAGAGATCTGGGTAACCTGGTGGAAGGAAAAGCCAAGGGCTATTCAAATCCAAGGTCTTCACTGTCTCTGAGTCCATGTCCCTGCAGCCGTGACCGTGTACTGGGGACATGAACAGGTCTGCCCAGGTCCTGCCACATTTCCCCGGGCCTCTGCAAAAGGTCCTGGGTGCTGTGGGGACAGTGGACCATTGGCTTGGCCTGCAAAGGCTCATCACTGTAGGATGCATTGATGCAATCTTTTGGATGAATAATGGGGGGGTTAGAGAAAGAGGTGAGCCTTCTCGCTCTGCCTCCCCTACCCAACACGTCCCAGGTGGAGAGGAACGCTTCAGTGCGGCCAGGAATTTCCTTGACTTTCTTTGGCCTTTCGTAAAATGTCAGAGTCCCTGCTGGCTGTAAAATTCAGGCCCTTTGAACTCAGCTCAGGGAGGAGCAGGATTTAAGGCACGAGCTGCAAACTGCCCGGTGCCCAGTCCCGCTTCCATCAGTGCTGGGCTGCCCGCCTTGCCGAGGGGGGACGGAGCTCAGTGTGGGTTTAAAACCAAAACACGTGTTGCATGCTTTGTTGTTGCTAGGGCCTCCTAATTTCTGAGTAGGTGTTTAATTTATTTTCCTCTTTAATTTTTTTTAGTGTTAAGAGGCATGAATCATTCAGTTCCATTTACCAAAAGGGCTTTGCTCCTGGATTTTGTTTCTGTGGATATTTGCAGCAGCTACCTCCTGTGAGTAGGATGTTGTTACTGCTGTGTTAAGGGGCAAGATGCTGGTAAGGGAAGCTGAGAAAACTGAGTAATTTCTGGTTTGTAAACCGCAGAAAGATGCCCCACACATTGATGAGAGAGATAGTAGAGAGATAGATATGTAGCAGCAGAATAAGAACAAGAAGTTTAAGAAAATTAGGTTTGAGATTGAACGATATGTTGTAAATGGGGACTGCAGTAGTGATGGTTGCCAGAAGTCAGCTGCTATTTCTTTCCTCATGGTTTCTTGACTGTGCAGAAATATTAAACATAACTAAAGGATGTGGCAACCTCTCTTTACATATATTCCTGTTCTAAATGTTTTATCTTTGTGCCTCACCAGGGAGGGTTTATGTCTGTATGCACTTGGATAGTTGTGAGTGTGCCATGCCCCTAGCTTGGCATTGTGAACAATAAGGAGAAAACGGATAGGAAACAAATGTTCATGTTTCTGATATATTGCCAAAGCTAGAAGTTGATAATTTAATCTGCCGCCTAACAGCTTGATAGTCTACAAAAAGTCCCACTTTTATCCACACACAAACTGTACAGCTCACTGCCACAGATGTTGGGGAGGCCGAAGAGATAAATCCGTCGTCTGTAGTAATTAAATAGATGGCTGGGATTCAAACCTAGGTCAAATATCTAATTTCTCAGATTTAGTGTGGCAATATCTTCAGTTATTTCTGTAATTTATGCAGCTGTCATAAATACTTCTGTGCACGGAAACCTACAGAAGTTCCGCTAAGACACTTATACACCTTTGAGTAAAGCAATAGGCATTTCTTTAAGGTGGAGTTTTTTGTTGGAGCACCAGATCCCTTTCTGTGCTTCTTCTGGAAATAGTCGGTCATCCTGTAGCCAAGCTGCCACCCGTGCAGGTGCCTCAGCCAGAGCGGATCAGGTGAGCTGCAGATATTGCCCTGGTGCCCGCATGCCCTGCAGCACACTGCCCTTGTGCCCAGCGCTGCTAGTGCATTAGGGCCGGTCACCTCAGCACCAGGCCTCATGGATGGAGTGAATGTGGAGACTCCCTCGGTACACAAAATGCAGCACTGTGTGGAGCAGGTCTGGAACCAGCAGCATGAAAAGTGCCATCCGTTTTGCAAGGAGGAAATGCTTAGTGGGGCTGCGCATGGTTAAAACTCATGGGCTGTGCCTGGGCCTGAGCTCCATCACCGTGTCCTCTGCAGAAACCAGAGCTTTGGATGGATGAACAGAGATGTTCCAGGCACAGGATCTCTTCTCCTTTAAACCAGGGTATAAAACATGTTGCTGGTTTTGTGCCTGTCCGCCCTTACATGGATCTCTTTACAATTTCTGGTCACGCAAAGAGCTGCATCATTTACAAGCGGGATTCACAGGAATGCAGCTCTGCTGCTAAGGAGCAGCTGGAGGACACACTTAAATAAAGCAGGAATCCTCCTCGCAAGCTGTTTCATGTTATCATGAAAGTTTATAGATTGAGATAAATCTCTTCTGACCTATGTGACCCCCTTGGCAAGCAATGACAGGTCCCACTGAGCCTGAGCCCAGGTTCTTTTAATATTTCTGAAACTTCTGGAGCATTCCTTACTCCTCGTGAACTTGACCAAGTACAAAGGGAATTTAATCTCCTTCTCTCACGGCTCCAAACTCCCAGGGTCTGACTTTCTTGCTTTCTCTGCAGACAGTCATCCATCTCCCTGCAAATGGGAGACTTCTCTGCGCACTGGAAGCGCTCCTAGCTTCACCCAACAATAAATCACTCAGACCTGACTACCTCCGGAAAATCTTTGTAGCTGTGACGTGACATCACAGAAATCCTGGGCAGGGAGCACCGGAGCGGTATTTCTCCTTAGCAGGGTGTGGCTGCTGAAAAGGGTTGCTCCGTGTTGCAGCCCACCAACCTTCAGGTGCTGCTGATGTGGAAAATGCCTTTCCAGTGGCTGGGTGACCAACCCGTACAAAAGCCTTCTGCCAGGCTCATTCATAGGCAGCTCCTGGTGGTTGTCCACGAGCCTGAGAGCCACCCATCGCCCTGGGTTCCTTCAGGGCAGACCGGAGGGGAACGGCGAGGGGCTGCACGGAGAGCAACGGCTGGGGCGGCTCGTGGCAGGCTGCTTTCCAGTCCACATGTGGACTTGTTAGTCCTCGCTGCTCGCTTTTGTACCACACTTGTAGGGAACTGAAAGTTGTTTATCTGCAGTCAGGGCTGCAAAACCCCTGCAGGCGTATGACAGATTCACTGGGATCTCTGCCTTGCTGAGAGCCACCTTGCCTGCTAATGTTTGAGGTTTTCTTAGAGGTAGTTTTGTGATTTTCTTTCTCCCCCTTTTCAGGCCCCCAGCCTGTATGTTCCAGACCTCGTACCTCCCTCCCCTATTGCACATTTATGGGATGCACAAAGGCATTTTACAAGAGCCCGATTTAGATGCGATGGTAACACAGGTATTGCTAAATGTTCTCTGAGTTGTGTTTTCAACTGTTAGAGCAGCTCTGCCCAAATAAAGCTCTTACAGAGAGCTTCATACTGAAAGAAAATTGCGATCAAGATCATTATACAGAATGAGTAAAGAATGAGGCATGGGGCTGGGTTTGGCCTACCAAACACTGACAGACACAACTGAAGTCAGTATTTCGAAGCAGGCTGTGCCCTGGGATCACTGCTGGAGCGGAGCAGGAGAGATCAGTGTGGCCAGGCTTTCCTAAAGCAGTGGTGGAAATGCAAGCTTTGGGAGGGGTTGGATGGTGGGAGGTGGCTCCACAGTCAGAAGGCCACAAAGATGAACCAGGAGAATCTGTGGGATGGTGACAGCCAGACAGGTGAGGGCAGAAAGCCCCTGCAGGTAAATGTCCTGCTGTCGGAGTCAGACATGGCAGGTAGGCAATACAAAGCATGGAAATGAAGCCATTCAGCAGAATTAAGGCAGCAAGGGGGTGAAAAAAAACCACTCCCATCTCAACAATATGTACATTTTCATCAGGCCAAACTGAAAAAAATGCATTGAGGAGGGTATTACAGACCCAGTAATCCAGAAAAAGCTCCTGCTTTCACTCAGCAAAACCCTTCACCGAACCTGGTAGGATGAAAAGTAGGGAAGGGTGTGGAATAAATCACTCCGTGTATATTTTGCATATGTATAAGCAAGAAAAGCTGGATGGTGACTAGCATGGCTGTGAGAGCACTCTTAAAGAATCATTTAAGTAGCATATGCTTTTAAAACTCATCCTTCTCATGTCATTAGCTAGCACACAGACCGGGGAGCAGGTCCAGCATTCCCCGTTACAGGTGTGTATGCAAACTTGAGAGACACAAATTGTGGCTGCGCAGTGGTAGATGCACAGCATGCTTTTAGCACGCGGCAGCTTTTCAAGCCTTCCTTCCTAAAACATTTATGTTCCCAGAAAAGCCAGTAAATATCCTCATGCTTGCTCTTTATGAAATTATAGTCAAGGATGGATGTCAAGCATTTTGCTGCTTGCAAACACTTTCACACAGCTCTCACTTTAGTATTGCAGGGCTCTTAATAAAGCATAATAACTAAGTTCAAGCTTTTTTGGGAAGGCTTCTGTGGTCCTGCTGCCAACCATAATCGACAGGCATTTGAAATTCATGAGCTCAGTCAATGCTGTGATTACATTTTTGAAGAAACTGTCCAAACAGGCTGCAGCAGAGTGCAGTTTCCTCATTCATTGTATTACTTCTGTTCCCCATCCTTGTACAATAATCACTGAGTGCAGAGGCTTTGCTTTGGGTATGGCTCAGTGACAGGCTACACAAGGAGCTGTTTTGACAGCTTTGCAGCTGCTTTTGGGCCCGTTATGTGGTTAGGCTGCTGATGGGCTGTCTAGACAAGCACGCCTTCTAGGATGCCATGTTCTTCTGGTTCACATTTGATTATGAGACAGGCTTTTTCATTTGTAATGCAAACAAGCCCCTGGAAAAAAAAAAAAATCTTCTGTGGGATTTCTTGTACAAAAGCCCCCTTTTTTCTGAAGGGTGATTTGATTCATACATTTCCGTTCCCCACTGTGGATATATTTTCAGCTTTCCCATTTGGGCATTGGGTTTCCTGAAAAAAAAGGGTGAGGTGAAAGTGCTGAGCCCCTCAGAAATCGCTCACATTCTGCAGAGATGCACAGCTGTGCAAATATGAGGCCTTGTGTGGAACAAGTGGACTGAAATCCACCTGGTTCCATTGCTTCTGCTTAACGTGCCTGGCCTCAGGCTCTCTGTGAGGCTGCCAAGGGAAGAGTGAACTTTCCTGGCCAATTTTTCATGGGCAATGCAAAACCCACTGGGCAGTTTGACCTGGTTCTTGGTTCGATTCTGCTTTAAGGCCACCTCTTGCCATTGCCAACCACAGCTGCAAGCAGTTCTGCAAGACTGAATGCTGGGCTTGGTCTGAAAGGACTGTTGAAGGGGATGAGTTTCCTGACCAGAATGGACGCAGTCATCAATTTCCCTGTAAATGAAGCAATTTATCCTAACAGTGAGGAGAGAGGACCCTGAATCAAGAGAGAAGGTTTTGCCCAGGGACTTCAATGCTGGCTCCTTGTTGACTGTTGCTGCTTCATTTGTCTGCTTGGTGCTCTTGCTCTGCTCACCCATCTCTTGCCGTGGGCACAAGATGCCTTTCCAGATGGCTGCAAATACAAGCACATTGCTATAGGCTTGCTATAAACGGTGATATTGCCTGCATGTAGAGAGGGCATTAACAGCTCTGTTTGAAAAGTGCAGCTTGGGAAGTCTCAGGGATTTCAGAGAAAGCTGGAGAAGATTTATCTTGCTGCATCCTCGTACATCCCCTGACTTTGCTCCCATGTAGCTGCAGATGTGAACCAAGAGGTCATGTTGAAGCTTCCTGCTAGATTTTGCATTCCCCCTGGAAAAATGGCTGCGAGAGTTAAGTCTCCCTCTTCCACTTCATGCTGAGCTCCTGTGAATGACCTGACTTCACTAAACTCACAGGAATATCATAACCACGCACAGATGTCAGCACAGGCGGCTCTGCTCCCCTCTGCAAACGCTGTGCAGAGGCTGGGCGTGCAGCTGGGCTGCCTGCCAGCTCGGGGAATGGTTCTGCTCACGGAGACGGGGCCAGACCCCTGGATAAACTCCACTGCTTCTCTCCATAAAGGTTTTGAAGTAGGGTAAGTGGGACGCATCATGTAGACCTAAATAAATCAGAGATTTTCATTTCTGATCTCACCATTGCTGAATGGGCTCTCTTCCAAGCATGTTTTAGTTTGAGGAAAATCTGTCTTCTGCATTTTTTTCTGAAGCCTTTCTCTCCTCTTCTGTTGACCATCCGACTTTTGTTTATGAATTTAGCATGGTACATTATTACGAAGTTAGCACATTATTGAATTGTTTGAGCGTGGCTTAGCCCTAAATGAGCATATGGTAATAACATAAGATCAGAGCCAAGAAAAACAGAAAAATTCTCAATGTGTCAGGAGGGAGAAAACACCTTGCTATGTCTTAAGGAGAATAAAGAAATCTCCTAACATTCACAGCCTTGTCCAGCACCCCATGATCCTGTCTCTAGATCAGAGCAGCAGTTTGTTATCTTTGTAACATACAACTGTCAAAAAAGGAGCTGCGGGTATTTTTCATTAAAAAGCATTTGTTTATTGAATTATTTTGTCTTATTAGAGAGGTCTTTTAAAATGTGTTTTCCAGTCCTGTCTGTAAAACTAAGTGTTGTCATTAAGCACGTCTAAATAGTTGTTCCATTGCACTATCCATGCCCACATCAACAAAAAAGTGAAATAAAAATATTCATTTTTTGCTTATTTGATAGCAGGTTTGCTCCCTAGTGATGGGATATTTGATAGATTTTAGATGACAAGCAAATGGAACAGGTCTTACAGAGTTCAGTGGAAAACCCTGTTTTTAGATCAGTCTTTCTTTTTTTTTCTTTTTTTTTTTCTAGTGAAGGCACGGACCTGTTTGTGAATTTAGGACTGCTGGAAATAGTTTGCTATCTTTAGCTACCCTTTGTGGTCCCCTGCAGAGCAGCTCGCGAGTCAAAAAGGTTGGCAGATGACAGCCACAAAGCCTTAGGTGTTCTGGGAAATTCGGAGAAATGCAATAGAAAATTATATGTCTTTGATAAAATAGTGAACTCTATTAAATTTATATGACTTTTAAATAAACTCCTGCGGAAACCTATTAGTTATGTGTATTAAGTTTTATACGACTTCCTTGCAGGAGCTGCTCCAAGTGGCAGCCATCTGGAGGAGAATGCTGCTGCAGCTGCAGTCCTGGTATTGTGTGCAGGAGCAGGGAGGCTGCCAGCATTGAGCTCCTTTCTAGGACAAAAGCCACGGTTTCAGGTGTGGATGCAGCATGTGCCCCTCTCCTCCTGCTCGCAGCGCTCCCAGAGCATGGGCAGCCGACCTCACCCCCACAGGGCTGCCTGGGCACCTCCAGCTCAGCCCCGTTCAGTTTGTCTGCTCCTGGCCACTTACGAGAAGCGATTTAACCCCCAAATAGTAATGATGGAAAATCAGATCCTACTTGAGGATCTAAAGGTAGGCGGGTGGGACTTCACAGCATGACAGCAGGGCAAGGAAGTAAAGCGTGCCATGTTCTGTCAACAGCGGCAACGCTCGGTGTGGAGAAATAACTCCCCAAGTGTACTTGCCCTTTGTATCTGATTTTAATCCCATGTATTTTTATCAGTTTTAATAAGTAGATTTATATTGGACACCAAATGTTAAAATTACCTAAACTTGAAACGCCTGCCTATGAAATGAGTCGGAATAGATTCTCCGTGGAAGTTACTGCAGTGCCAATAAGGATTAATTAAAACTCAAATGTTCTTCATTGTGTGTTAATTAAGGAATTGTTATTCAGTCAACCTTCTTGATTTTTCTCTGTGTTAAATAATCATAGAAGTATTTCACCTAGTCTCACTGTTTGTTTAACCAATTAATTAAGGAAGGGGATATTCTGCATTTATTAGTATTTTAATTGGAGAATTTTATTCCCACTGGCCTAAGCATCTACATATGTTCAGTTTTTGTGTTTAGCTTTTTTATCTTTTAAATGACCAATGTTCCTGATTGTACACACTACAGACTAAAAAAAAATCTTTCAAGTACTCTGTACAATCGAACTTCATTAGGGCTTGAAAACCAGAGGCCAGGTTTTAATCTCAGTTGCATTCATGTAGGTCTCAAGTAATTCCCTCACTATAATAAGGGATACTAGTTCCACCCGGATGGGAATCTGGCCTCTCTGATTTAAATGATGAGAGTGCATGTTATATAATGTTTTTTAACTGTTACCTGTTCAAAGAATTATATTTAATGGCTACTGATTTATAAAAGCTCACTTTGTAGCACATTCACAGTTCAGCAGGTGCCACAAAATTTAAATCTCTGTTAACAGCACTCTTGTGGTGGTGATGCTCTTTGTTGGTTTTTGAGATGTTTTGTTGATGTTACAGCAACCAAGTTTTCTTTGCTTTGTCTTCAGAAGAGAGAAAATGGGAAAGACTGTAGCTCCTGGACTGGGGGGGAGAAGGAAAAAGACAGGAGATGGACCAGGCAAAGGCAGAAAGGGGGTGACAAGCCTGTGGCAGCAGGGCCCGGACTGCTGGCTGCTGGTGACAGAAGAGATGGGGGCAGGCAGCAGGCTGGGCGGCAGAAACCAGCCCAAAGAAAGGTCTCTGCGTGACCCACTGCTCACTCCGGCAGGGGCTGTGTGATGGGGATGGGAGTGAGGTTTCACCACCCAAGGGAAGGAGCTTTTTGGCTATGGGGTTTGAGGACACCGAGTTATCCCTTTAAGTTTTTGAATTCTGGCTGCCATGCGGCAGGATGACCATGAATGCTTGTGCTCATTTGTCTTTGTTGGCTTTGATGCTGTGGCAAGAGGGAATTATCATCTCTGAAAGGAGCCATGGATAATCCCCCGGAGGTGTTGGTGATTTCCCTGGTGTGTTTGCTCTAACAGGTACAGAGACAAGCACCCAGAGGGGAGCTGGGCAGCTCAGAGGGGGCTGGCTGGCCTGGAGCAACCTGCACCCAGATGGGCCTGCAGGGGTTTGCTCTCACCAGCAAAGTGCCTTCTGCTGCTGGAAATGTGTGCCCACTGCATTTCTGTCACTGGTTGCCTTTGGGGTACCAGGGGAGGCCCCATGTGGTGTTAGTGTCAGGGCACTGGGGAGGCTGCGGCACGGGGCAGGGCACGGCCCCAACCAGCCCCCCGCCTCGTGCCCTGCTGTAGCTGTCACACCTCGGGTTTGCACCTGCAAATAGGAGACAGGAGAGAAATGACGCTCTTCTTAGAGACTTCTCTCTTCTCACCACATAGGAGCAAAATAATAGACGTTTGTGACTGAAGTGAAAGCGAGGAACTTCAGTGTTTTCCTTGTGTGCCCTTCCCTTCCCAGCACTGCCAGCAGCGAGCAGGCAGCGGGCCCTGCTGACGGCCCTCTGGAAGGTCGCACAGTGTGGTGGGGCAGCGTGGCCATTTCTCCTCGCTCCATCCCACCCTGGGGACTCAGAGAAGCAGGGCACAGCCGGGCCCAGGTCATGCTGACCTCCTGTGCACAAACAGCGCCTCAGTCCCGACACGGCAGGGCCCCCTCTGCTCAGATGTGCCTTTCATTCAGTTTCTTATTTCCATCCTAGGTGTTCTTCAGTAAGCCTACAAATACATGTTTTCCTCCTGCCTTACTGAGGTTTTTTTGTCTCATTGGGAAGATGAATGTGGAGATTGTTCCAAGCAAAGTGAGACATTATTTTGTAGAGAATAAAACAGAAAACATACACACATGCCCAATGCATTTTGTTTTTCCATACCGATTCTAAGTGAGTTATAGCCCCAGTTCTTACTTCCCTGAAAACTCCTGTGGAGTGGCTTTATATTAAAAAGGCTACAAAACAAATACATTTTTTCTCAATGTAAAGGTTCTCTAGATTAATACAAATTATTTTTAAAATCCATGTTCCAATCACAGCCCCTGATTTAATAATGTGATTTGTATCTAGTTGCATTCAGAAATGTGAATAAGCTGCCTGCAGTCAGTGAAGCACTTGGGGACATGCTTAAATCCTACTAGATTTAATGGGATGTGAATATTTGGTTGAAGTTAGGTCACTCTGCTAAATATAGAAAGGCAGATTAGCAGACAGTGTTTGAGCTATATACTCAGGTGAGTTGTTACTAACATCCAAATTTTGCATTTCATCTTACCCGAGGTGTCAGCATGGCCTCTTAAGGTTGTCATCTGAGCTTCATCTTTGTAGTTGTGTGGTGTTCATTATGCTTGATTAATGATTTCCTTAGTACCTGCCACTTATTTATTTTTGCATAGTATTAAACATTTAAAGAAATGTTTAATTTCTTTATTGTGACAATGCATTGAAACATTGGTCAGAGGGAGAAAGACACGGACAATATAAATGGGTTCAAGCCATGCAAGGAAAAACAAAAGACTGCCAGTGTCATTGTGAACTTCAGCCACACCACATGCATATGCCAACAGTAAATTGCAGGGATATAACACTTTAATCCCTGTGAATATACTGAGGCTGTCTCAGACAATAATTAATGTAGTGAACAGCGAGGGCAAGCCGAAGGCAATTGTCCCGACTGGCGCAGGTGTCTTGCAGCCGCCTCCTGCTCTGCCCCGCTGTGCACACGCGTGTGCATGGCTGCTCGCACGGCTCCTGCCTCTGCTGCTCCTCACCCTGCCTGGCGCCGTCAGGAGATCTGAGTGCCAAGCCCATGTAGCTGCAGTGGCTTTGCAAATGAAACAATGCGATCGGTGGAAAATCAGCACTGATGCTGGATGTCTGGCTGTACTGGTGAACGCTGGTGCCGCCTGCAGCTGCAGCGCTGCAGAAGGTGGCAGAAATCGCGCGCCATGGCAGTAACTCCTCCTGCAGCTTCACAAGATGTTTGTGCTTGGCTCTAGCTAACTCTGTCTTCTTTCCTGCTTTACTCTCCTTCTGCAGCATTACCTGTTCCTTTCTGCCTACTGTTTTCACACAAATATGCAGTTGTTCATTTGTAAAACCAAAAAGAATTAAACGAGAAGGACTGCACCACACCCCTGTTGCACAGCCACTGCTGTCACCAGCCACACTTCTTTCAGGAATCCCTAGGTCTTTGTACCTAGGGGAAAAAAAAAAGACACTATCAACATGCAATGTTTTTTTTTTTTTTAATTTTATTTTATTTTTGTGAACTTCCTTTTTATTTAGGATTGCATTTGTGGGAAGGGAAACTTGTCCACAGTCCTTGGAAAGGAGTCCAGAAAGACCTAGGTGATAGAAGATTAACAAAGTGAAGACCAAACATCAACTTATGACAAAACTTTGGAGGAGTTTTCTCTGTTCTATTGTTCATGGCCCTGTGGGGAGTCATAAATGCCTGTACTAATACTGGTTGACAATGAATACTGGCAAATAACCAGAACTGAAAATTAGGGTGAGTCATAATTTGTGCTCTTAAAAGAAAAGAAAAAAAATCCCATTATATCCATCTACCATTGCCCATGCATCCAAATTGCCTTGAAGAAGTCCACTATTAACCAATCTCTTTTGGGTAATTGCTTTCCCTGTGAGAGCCCTCTACTATAGAAGTACTGTCAAAACAAGGACAAGTTTGGGGTCCATCAACCTTGACGATGTCCTCTGACATTATTAGCTGAATTCATCAGCTATTAATGACTACAAGATATATGGGATATACTCTGGTTAGCACTTGGAAAGACTCTTTCAATTCATTTCTAGCTCTATTTATTCATTTAGACTAAATGGAGTTATTAAAGGTCATGATTTCATTTCCAAAGTATCAGGTGAAAATACTTTTCAATTTAGCAAATAGAGCAGACTGCTTGCAATAAAATTAAATACCATCTTTAACAGTTTCTCTGATTTAAAGAGGTATTTCCTAAAAAGTTTGACTTTCATTAACTAAATCCAGGTGGGGACTGGAGAAATGAACAATGGTGTACAGTGCTCAAAGGAAGGAGAATTGTTGACTCCAATAATGAATTTTGGGACTTTGGGTTTTCAGAGACCAGCAACAAGATTTCTTGTCCTTCTTGGCACCAAATGACAAGGAAAACCTGAAATGCAATAACTGCCATGCGTAGAGAGGTTTTATTATACGGCTCACATTTTCATTTTATAATCTGAGATTTGCCTGCAACACATTATTGAGTCAGTCATCACTGAAAAAAGTTTTCTAAGCTCTTATGTTCCTTATGCAGTGTCTACACTAGAAACGTTTTATCTATATGTGTTATCATTAAAGTGCTTTTGATTTCGACATAGCAATAAAAGTTATGGATACTGCTATATTAAAATTTTATCTCTTTTTTTTTTTTTTTTTTTTCCACAGCATGAGATCTGGAAAAGCCACCTGCACCACTCATTTCTGCCAGCAAATCAAGGTCCACTTTTTTCATGTCCTAAATGCCCTTGTCCGTGTGCCCTCAGCATGTGACTGTATGTATTATGTAGATCCCTAAATGCGGGGCTGGCTGGCTGTAGGGCTCCAGCTGCCCCGAGGCTTTGAGGCTGGGCTGGGGGGGTGAGCAGTGGGCTGCTGTCAGCAGGGCTTCTCCAGCGGGTCCCTGAAGGACGATGAAGGAAGAGCAGAGGGCTTTGTCTGATGGCTTTCCCACAGAGGATGGCAGGCCCTACCCAGCTGAGACGGGCTTCCCAGCTGGAAACCAAGGCATCCTCCCCTAGGAGGAGCCAGCAAGGACCAGAGAGGAGTCCCAGGAGGACTGAATTTACAGTGATTTTTTTTTCTCAAGCCTTTTGCTCCTCAGGATAATAGACACGTGTGTCATCAAGGGAAATCCAACACATTGAGTAGGACTGGTACTAGTCCTACTGTATGTGCTGAAAGCTTTAGGAATGAGAATAGAAACTGCTTCTGCATCACAGCTGCTGACGGGCCGCCCCTCGCACCTCCCTGCGTGTGCTGGGTTAGCTGCAGCCAACGTCGTGTGGAAACAGCCTCCCAAAATCCCCAGCCCTGGGTGTGCATTACCCAGGCCACACAGCAGTCCCTGTGTTTCCTGGCTGAATGACTTAGTTACGTACCTCGACGTCAAATAACAGACTGAAGATTCACTTCTTGGCTGGCTATGAAATTTTAAAATGTTCCTTGAACAATTTTGCTCAGCTTACCCAAGGAAAATTCAGGCTCCCACAAAGGGAATCTGAAAGAACTCCTTAATTTCTCCACTGTTCAGACAGAGCTAAGCTTTGGTGCAATATTACAAGATCCACAATCTGTAGGCAAGCTGCTTCCATGACCACAGAAACTTGCTTGCTTCATTTGGTAGCTGTGAAAAAAACGTTCCTGCTTCTGGGAAAAATTGCTCTGAGAATGACCAGGCATGGTCAAGCAGGTTGTTGCCAGATGTGGTGTGTGTTATATCAGATGGGAATTAAAAAAAAAAAAATGTTTTTAACAGAAAACAGGTATGCCAAACAAGAGCATAATGTGAAAATAACATAAAGGCCCCTTTGTGAGATTTTATCTGGCAGTTTGGGGCTTTGTGCACCTTCATTTTGCTGGAGCTGTATATTTAGTTCTCCAAGCAGTGTAATAAAAATGCAGCTGTAATCAATCAGATCTTCTTTCTTTAGTTCACTCTCGTTATTCCCCAAGAGGAAGCTTTACAGTTGCAGGAGCAGCAAATTAATTTGTGAGAATGGCTGTGGTCTCAAAACATGTCTAGGCATCACAAACATGACGATAGCAAATGAAAAGTATTTCCTCCAAGGTCCAGTCTATAGATGTTATAAATGTTGTAAAATATTACAAATAAGAAATAATTAAAACTACTGGTAAGAGCTTGTTCTGTGGCTAGGAACAGGACCAGCACAACTGCAGAAGTTGGAACTGTGTCAAACTATGCTGGTTGTTTGTACCGTGTATGTCTTAGCCAAGTGACCTTGCTTATTTTCACTTGGTGCATTTCTCTAATTACCATAGGTGAATTGTGGAGACACAGATTACAAGCCTCTTTCTTACTTTTGCAGCTTGCTGACAGAAATGGTCTAGTGAGCCCCGGCTCACCCTCTCAATTTAGCATGGAAATTGGAGCTTCCAGCTGATTATTGTTGAACGGTGAGATAACGAGAAGCAAAACAAGGGAGAAGTTGAGTTGGCAAGTCAGCGCCTTCATAGAGCAGTGCTGCAGGTGGACTGCCATGGAAATTATTATTTGCTGGGGTTTAGAATTGATAATGCCTGAATTTTATAATGTTTGTTGTTGTTTTGTTTTGTTTTTCCTTAGGAGGTGGCAAAGTGACTAATAAATGTGGGCATGGTGTTTGTGATGGGAGCTGCCGCGGCACAGTGCAGTGGAGCGCCTTGCCTGAAGTTGCTCTGCAAATCCATCACAGAGCCTGGAATGAAATCCACTGCATTTGAGGTGAGGCAACAATCATTTCTTTGCAGAATCCGCAAGGGATCATTTCAAGCCTTACACTGGTGGCTGAGCGGCTTGCACAATAGCCCTGCTGTCATGGAAGAGCCACTTAGGCCTGCTGGCAAACCACGCTGTGAGCAGAAGGTGCATTGTGCTCCCACGCCTGGCCATGTCCGTTCTGGCTGACCAGAACTTACAGAAATGATTTTTTTTTTTCTCAAATATGTGCAGATTCACTTTTCACTTGTGGTGGGAGAACGCTGCAGGAACAAAACCACGCGGTGATGGGGATAATCAGCATTGCCCTCCGCAGCTCGGCACTCCCCAGGCGGCTGTGGGGTCACGGCTGCCCCACGGGGCCAGGCAGCGCCGCGCTGTGCTGGGCCAGGGGCTTCTCCCTCCGGGGATGCAGTCACTGGGACCTTTTAAAGAGCAAATACAAAGTAAACCCATTTCCCAGCTGTGGGCTTCTGTTTCTCAGGCTGGTAAAGTTAATTTGCCAAAGACGTTACTGGACTTTTTTCTTCATGCAGGTTGGCTAGTGGCTTTTATAAATCCATTGTATTGCTTCTGGTACAGGTGTCAAAGTCGTTGGTCAAAGCTGATTAAAAAAATCTACAGAAGCCTTGAAAAGACGTTCTGTTATTGATGTCTTACCAGCTGTTCACAAAATCAAGCTCTCTATTAAGAAAGGATGATTTAAAAGCCAGTAATGGGTGGTAGTGTTTACCAGGAAATAAAAATGTTGGCTCCCTGCCATCAATGAAAAGAGATAAGTCATGAATATGTGCAGCATTTCTAAAAGTAATATTTAATGAAGAATTTAAAACAATGTCCTTGTTATTTTTGCATTTCAAGCAATGTGGGAAGTGGCACAGCAGGCAGTAATGCCTAATGCACAACAAGCTGAAAAGAAAATCCAGGAAAACATGGTTGTTACCTCAGAAATAAAGGTAGGCTAGTGTTTTTTTTTACTACACACAAAAAAGTTTAGACTAAAAATGCCATTTTCAGATTTTTTGCTTTCTGTGAGAGTTTGAGGTGTAATTATCACAAATGCAGTTCATGCACTGATCCCTCCAGTGTTCAGAGGCCAAAATGCTTCATCAGATTAAGGGATTATAAGATTTTGAGAAGATTGGTTAAGGTCATTTCAAAGTTTTAGTGGCTAGATTTTATTTTAGTGGCTGCTAAAATGAAACAAATAAATGATTAGACTTCTGAAGCAGTCCTGCAGTGTAGACTTTAACAGTATCAGCTTTCAAGTATTTACTTTTTCCTGAAAAACAAATAGTTCTTGAAGGCTTTGAAAGCAGACGGTCATTTTATACCTATTGCAAATCAGCACATTTACGTTAGAGATTACAGTGGAGGGCAGTGCATGCCGTGTTGCGCTGGGAAGAGCAGCCAAGTGGAGTAAGGGCAAACTGAAACAAATCGCTGCTGGATCCAGCTCTTGGGCTGGAGCAAACCCTGCTCGGGCTCAGCTCTGCACCACGTCTGCCCCAACAGCAGGCTCCGTGTGCGGTGCAGGAGCAGATGCAGAGTGGTGCGAGAGGTGGAGAACCTGCGAGTCGCAGAGTTACTGACTTCTCTTTATTGAGGGATTACGTCTTAATTCCTGCTTTCAGATATGGCCAGGAATACATATAGTCACTAATTAAAGTAAACAGATATGTGAAAGATGTGCTGAAAAATGTCTGTCTGTTTGCCAAGGGGATGTGTAAGATTATGGCAAGTGTGTGAAAGCACTTTGCCTGGAATTTCCCAGCCCAGTCCGATTTTTAGCATGTGTTCGCATTAGCCAACTGGTCTGTGCCGGCTGGAGAGGAAATACCCAAAGAACTCTGAGAAAATTCTGATACCAGCACTAAACACTGTGCTCTCTGTGCTCCTGCTGAACGGACTGTTTGTAAGCACAGGCATTTTTTTTCTTTAGAAATAGACTTTAAAAATCCTTCTGTGCCTTGAGGCATCAGGAGAGGGGTAGCCATACCCCATGCACACGGTGCCTCTGCCACTTTGAGGCACCACTCCGAGGTGACACCTTATGCAGCCTGCATCCCCTGGCGACACGGCGCTGCTTACTAATAAGGCGCAGGTCATTCGTACAAAGAGTTGAGCTCATTATTGGAAGCGGTCCAGAGGCACCAGGCTCAGAAACAGCCGGAGTGAGGCAGCTCTGCACCGAGCACGCAGGGTGACCAGAGCTGGAGCCCCGTGTCCAGTGGCTCTCGCTGCATTTCCACTTCTGCAACTCTCACAGCGTCTCTGCAGCAACTCTGCAAACTTGTTGGCTTTGCCTGAACAAGTGAAAAAAAACAACCCTCCAAGAACAAGAGCAAACCTCGCGGAGCAGGAGAGAGGAGGCTGTGCAGATAGCTGAGCCCGATTAAATCATCTCTGCAGAGTTCACCATGCGGTCATGAGGACGGTGACTTATTACTGCACTTTGGTAGTGCCTGGAGCCACCAACCCATCTCTAGCCCGCCAAATGTGCCAAAGCCCCAGTGCAAAACCCTGAGCAGCATCTCGGGCCTTGCCAGGAGCCTCGCAGCAAGCCCCCGGCCGCTCCGTGCCCCCACCCCACAGGGGACCACGGGTCCCACAGCACAGCGAGCTCCCTGGTTCTCGTGTGCACCCTGCTGTTAGCGATCAATGAACTTCCTAATGATTTATAGTAATCTGATGGGCATGTGAAAGCAGAGACAGCTTTCAAACTGCAAATATTTGTTGCATGATAGTTGTTGTGGAGAATTGCTTGTTTTCTGTGCAGCAAAGCCACTCTCGTGCACTTAAGGAGAGAAGTGATATACGAGCAGGAGAAATCAGGCAAAGTTTTAGCTTGAAATCATAGGAAACTGAGCATTAGCCAGCCTTAAACTGTGTCAGAGTGGGAGTCTGAATTTATAACTTCCTTGTAAGTACTGCTTAGCATTTAAATTTAGGATTTTTTCTGTGGGCGACGCTAAAGACGACAAGTGTCTGCAAAACTTGTGCTATCACACTGAATATGACCTTTTGGCAAGGCATGCATTAACAGCCTGCTGTCAACTTCTCCCTGCTTCTTGCTTAAAACCTGATGAAAACAAAGCCACTATTCACATTCTGGAGGTGAGGCTCTGCACATGTTGCAGGGGAGACCCGCTCAGCATTTTGCAGCACTGGCTTTGTACGGTCAGGTTTCATGGGGAAAGTGGCTGCTGAGAACCTACTGGAATGTGTAAAATGTCATTGCTGAGTGCTATAGATTTTGAATGCTTCGTAGTTCCTTGTCTTTGCTGTGAAATACATAACTAGAAGCACACAAGGTAAATCTGTCAGCTACCCTGAGCTGCAACAGCCAGCCCCTCCAGATTTCCCGTGAGTGCTCATAATACTGAAGTTATGAAACGTGTCTGTGCCAGAAAACCCTTACTGTGTGATGTACTTTCATTTTAGAGAAATGTAAATAATTTCCAAAGCAACGTTTTGTTGGGCTACTCATCTAACTTTACCAAGGAAGCAGTATGTATTTAAGACATGTCAGACTTTGATTTCATTTGGTTCTGATTTTAATTAGCTAATGATGCTGTTTAACTGTGATCTAAGTATCTGAGAAGCAAAACAGCAAGAATTTTAATTAGCTTACTTCGGTACGTAACTACTTTTCTTCTAAACTGGTGGGTAATTGACCATGCATTGCCTGACATGATTCGCTTGGTAGTTAATTACTTCACTCACTGGATAAGCAAATGCTTGTAAGCAATTAAGCCACGAATCCTTGGGGAAAGGACATATACACGAGTTTGTTCACCTTATTTTTGCCACATGCTTTTGAGAGTTTGAAATGCACAACTCAACACAGAGGCAAGGTGCTCGTAGCAGTGCAGTGGCATGCGACATCCCACTGGGAGCTGGGACAGCACTGGCAGAGCTGGGGGGTGCAGAGCTGGGGGGTCACAGCTGGCAGCCACACGGCTGGCTGCAACGCCAGCCAAATTTATTTTAATGGCCTAAAATAAATCCAGGGGATCCAAACCTTGTAATGTTCCTGTAAATCCCTGCGGCTCTGGCTCAGGCTGGATGTGGGTCTCCCCGGTGCTCTGTGCGGGGTGGCAACACCCCCGTTATGGTGTATGGGCACTGAGGGGAAAGGTGAGAGAAGGTTAAACTGGATGAACCAGGCATCAGTGGAAAACTGCTAGGTTAGGCGAGGAGGAGCCAGGAAGGTCTTTGGTCTAGGCAGAGAGAAAATCGTCGGTGATGTGAGTTGTTGTGCTTTGTTAGATAGCACAAGGCAAAGCTGGGAAGGTGACTGCAAGCCACGGTGCTGCTGCATCCCTTATCGGCTTTCCTCTGTGTGGCTTTCTCCTGGAGAGCTCTGCTGGGGGCTTTGCAAGGGAGGAGACCTCAAAGAAATAGGAAAAAAAAAAAAAAAAAAAAAAGGCACATTGTGAAGACTGAGAAATATTATGCTTTGTTAAAATGAAATTATAAATTACTGAAGGAGCCTGATGCCTCTAGGGAGCTGCTTGCCCAGAAGCAGATGTGAGTACTCACTGGGGTGGGTAATGCAGGCACCGGGAAGGGCTTTGTCCCCTTGGTGCCAGGCAGGGGCCACCCCTCGCGTGGCATTACAGCTGCCTGCTGGCGGCCAGGGGCTGGAAGGGGCTTTCGAGATGACAAGGCGAACTGGCACAGCGTTTGCGCAAACAGAGCCACCGAGCAAAGTTTCTGCTCTGCATACTTTTCCAAAGAGAAATGTGCTAATAGGAGTACTCGCTGAGAGCAAGTATAGGGTGTCACCCACGGCAGTGGAGGAAATTTATAGCATGTATTCAAACAAATGCTCATGACTGTTTTGTACTTGGTAGTTTTCAGCCAGAGCCAATATCAACAGCAGAGAATTGCACTGTTGTTTCTATGTCAGAAATTGCTGCTGTATAATATATATTGACTTTGCGCGTCAGTAGATCTGAATAATTAATTCAAACAGTTAGTCTGCATGCTTTTTTTATGATTTGAATATGAAAAATGAAAAACTGCTGACTTTTGGATTAATTGGCTCAAGGACTTCTTTGCTGGGCAAGTGGGCAGTTGCTGTTTGTTTCACTACTGATGGATAAGTTCACAGGAGTCAAAGTGACTTGGAAATTCACACAAACTTGCCAAACTGGTGTTCTTCCTTCCCATTTACCCTTCTTTCACTTTAACTGGAGTTTATTGAGCTTCCTGTTTCTTTTTTCATTTTAATGTTCCAAAAAAGGTGTTATGCATGCTCACTTCTTGTGCTGCAGAATGCGTATCTGACACTGTATAAACTTTGTGTTTTAAAACACGAAGCAAAAGGACATGCATTTTGCCATTGAACTCTTGTTTTCTTGAAACTAATCGCAGGTCTCATGGACTTCAACACAGGTTTTCAAGTCGCCTCACCCAGCCTTGTCCCTGGAGGATGTTCAGTGGAGGGAGCTGGGCATGGGGACGTGGTGCTGGGGTGTTCCCAGGAGAGCCAGGCAGTGTGGCCAGAGCCCCGGGAGCCAGCCCTCGGCACCCCACCACTGCAGCTGCAAGCACCAGAGGTGCGTGAGTACCTGAACTGGGTATTGAGCTTAGTGCTACCGTGTCATGCCTTCTATCATGTAGGTGGATATGCCCAAGGCTTGAGAAATTAGCATGTATTCACTTACAGGTCCATGAATATATATTTATGGGAGAGGAACGGAGCTAATGGCTTGTTTCCAGGTGTGAAAGAAATGTGGGGTCCTCTGAAAAATATTGGCATCTTCTATTCCTTGTATGGTTTGCTGTCAAAAGCAAAATAGAGGATGGAGTCTTGAGACTTAAAACAAGAAAAATAATAAGTGATTGCCTCATGGATAGTGACTAAGTTAAGATGTTTTGGAAAGGGTGATGAGCTGTATGTTAGCTGCAAGGTGAGCTAATCAGGAGAGGGAATTGGCTGTAGAAGATGTACACTGATTAGGTGCTAAAGCATGTTAACTCATCAGTTTTGAGCAAAACCCAGAAAGAACGAAAATTGCACATGGGATTGAAATGCCAAAGCAATGGAAAGGAGTTTATATGTGGAGCTGGGAAGCTTCCATGAATAATCTGCAGAGAAATGACCACTGACCCTTCTAAATAAGTCGTCCTTGATGGGAGAGGAAGCTGAGATCATGGCCAGTCCCTGCAGCAAGGGATCCCAATCCTGGTCATAGCTGCCACCCGAGCAGGGGAAGATCTGGCCGTTGCTCTGCCTTTACTGTTTTGCTCAGGAAAGAACCTGAACAAGCTCCTTATGGCTCTCGTGCATAGCTTGTGGCATGGTGCTAATGGCTCCACAGCTGGAGATGGTGTTCTCTGCAGCCTCAGAGACAAGACAAATGCTCTAGGAGCACTTTTCCAATAACTTTTTTGAACCATAACGTGGCTTTGAAATGGTATGACTTCATTTTGTGCTTCTGTCTGAATACCAGAATGGCCTTGAAAAGAATTATTTTAGTTTAGTTCTCATTAGTATGGTTACATAACTAAAAATATTCTATGGCAAAATATTTCAGAGTTTGAACTAGCCAGTCTGGCATCAGAGGGAACAAAGCCTGTATTCTGCAGCAGGCATGTCCAACTGTTTGACATTAAACACAAACAGCTATTTTCCATCTCAGCGTAAAAGCTTAGCATATTCTGGGGACTTCCAGCACTTACCAATCTATTAATGTGGTCTGACCCATACTAAGTTATTATAGGGGGGTGGGGGGGGGTCCGTCTCTCTCTTTGAATACAAAAAAGCCCAATCCTCTTGCAGACTTTTGCTTTAACTGGATCTTATTTCTCTGTTAGCATGCATTTCATTTCTCTTCACTGCTGGGACATGTAAAGCAGCAAATCTGCATGGGGTTAATGCCTCAGTACACTAAAAAAAGCAGAGGCTGGCAAGGAGGAGTGGGAGAAAGTAGATCAAGAGAGAGTGCTTTGTTCCAGTTCAAGGGCTTGAAGTATGAGAGAGCGACTCACGCTGTTATTGGAGGCTGAAAGAATTTTGTTAAAGGGATGGGATCTGATTTTATTTCAGCTTAAAATTTAGTATCTCTGCCAACCAACCCAATAATGCAGGGAAGACCCTTTCCACAAATATTCTCATGCACAGGCACTTCATCTCCTGCCACACACTATTTCAGACGGATGTGATAGGAAATCTGTACTGCAAAATTAAAACTTTCTTGAAATACTGAAGATATGCAACACTCAAATCACTAAAATCTCAGTGCTCCTTACTGTGGACATCATTCACAACCAATCACTTTTGCCTTTTGCTGATAGATATATCAAACTTTCTTGGTTGTGATATTGATCAAATTCCCTTCTCCTCTCAAGAATGCAGCAGCTCTGAAACTACACTAGAGCAGGAGAGTTATTTCTTGCTTCTCTTACACCTGCAGCCTACTTTGTAGATCTCCAGTCCGATTTAATGCAGCATCACATTTTGTTTCCTTGTGGGCAGACATTAGGAAGACTCGGGGAGAAGGGGAGTGAGGTTTTCACTTTCTAGGAAAGGCCTGAAATAACTGGGGAGGTCTGAAATACACCAAGAGCTTTAATGGAAGGTAACTCCACTGCAGGAGCTGGTGTTGCCCAGGCTGTCCCAAATGTCTGTGTGCCAGGCTGTGCGTGTGTGTGCACGTGGGGGTGACCGGCACAGAGCCGGAGGCACCACAAGAGCCGAGGCTCCGCGGGCACGGGGCCACCAGCCCCAGCGCCAGCAGCACCAAGGAGGGGATGCAGCTGCTGCAGGGGCTGTGGCAGGGGGAATCGGCAGAAATAGCAAGGCTAGCGCCCGGCTTCCTGAGCGGAGAAGAAACTTGACACAGAGGAGGCTGAGGGATCTGGCGTCTGTAATACGAAAACTACCAGAACTTTCTCAAGAGCCGTGGTTTTGTTTGCTTGCTCGCTGCTGGGGACGGGGAGCAGTTCGGGCTTGGCAGAGCAGAAGACTTGTCATCTTCTCATTTTCATATACTTCAGTACTTTGTAATCTTGGCAAAAGCAAGGTGCTGAAGGGGGTCTGTTCTTGAGTTTCCAATTCTTATATTTCCAATGTTGATTAAACAAGAAAATCTCCTACAAGCCTCTTCTTGTTAGATTCTTCAGTCCTATTTCGAGATCAAATGGGCTTTAAAACAGGTCTGGATAAGCTCACAAGCTTAATCTACTTGAAAGGTAGAATGATTGGGTAACATGCTAGACGTGACAATAGATCATTCTGTGTATCGCAGGTAGCGCTCCTGTCCTCTGGAGATATTCCCCGTCATGTCTGGAGAGTGCCTGGGACACAAATGTTCTGCAGTTGCTGTACCATTTGCACAGCACAGTTGTACCTGAAGGCAGTTGTTTAATGGAAACATTCAGTTTGCATTTTCTGCCACTAATACTTTAGTGGGATCAACATTATTGAGGCTAATTAGAATTCAGCGAGAACTGATTGTTCATTAGAGAGAGAAAAAAATGTTCCATGGAGCCCTGGGTTTGGTAGAACTATTTCACATAATTAAGCAATTCCACATCTTGGCATTTTATCCCTCTTGTTATCATTGCACTTTGTTAATAAGTTTTTAATTGCAAATTATCTCTATGACACAAATTACACTGTGTTTACTGATCAGCAAAAATGCCATGATAACCAGCTTGGATGCCAAGTCCTTCGAAAATACTAGCTGCCAAGTTCTCTCCCTTACGTAGTTTGGCATTAAAATATCTTCAGGTTACTTAAAATATATTGACTTCCAGTTTAAAGTGTTATGGACTATACAGTTTCTTGGCTAAGGCTCCAGGAATAGGGGAACAATAGCTTACATAACCAAAAGAAGCTTAGTTGCAGTGTTGCAAGTTGTTCCTGTTTCTCTGATGTTCTGGATTATGTTCTGTGTTTCCTCATGTGTATGATGTACATACCTCAAACTCATGAAAAGTGGCTATTAACACAATTATTTAAGACAGTTATGTATTCATAATTACCTGTATAGAATTTGTGACAGGTGCTTGACAACAAAAATTTGTGTTAAAATTCATATATATATATATGTGTGTATATATATATATATATAAATGAAGTGCCCAGGCTGACAAAATTTCAGAGAAAGTGTCTATTTTCTCTTTAAAAACAAAAGATCTATAAAGCTTACGAGAGAAAACTCCTTCCTTACTGTTAAAATCTTTACATATCACCTTCAAGTCCACATGGACTCTCCTGAATTCAGTTTTGTAACTGATTTATTCTATAGTACATGTATATGAAGGAAATATGTAAATTCATGTCCAGGTATGTAGTTTCTGTTGAAATGACTAGAAGTATTTGGGACTTAAGTTAGCAAATATTTTGGTTGGGAAAGTAGGATACAATTTTCAGAAAGCCTCAGGGCAACTTGTATTTGTTTTAGAGAGGATTTTAGCTCTCGAGTTTGATTTTGTTTTTACATATGCAAAAATATATATAATGTTTTTCTTAGGGACTTTATATGGATTTAGATATCAAACAGCAACTGAAATTAAAAAAAAAGGGCTTCAGGTCAAACAATATTAAGTTCTAATTTAACTTTTAACAGTAAGGTCCATTACACAGTGGTGGTCAGCATCCAGCAACCAGTAAAGCATAGATGTCATTTCATCAAGCTCTCAAAGAGAAATCGTATGCTGTGTCCCTGCTTCCTGACCCCTGAAATAAACACAGCACAGTTCTGAAACATTCTGGGGTTTTAATTGAGATTACCTCGTTAGCTATTAGCATCAGACACTGGCACTTTTCCAGCCTCACTTGCGTGAAGATGAGGTTGGGTTTTCTTTCATCCACAAGGCTGACGACAGTGCGATCTGTAAGGCCTGAAGTTTTGTCCTGACCTGTTGACTTTTTTGTGAGATCTCAAGCAAACATTTATCCCTCATGGTTAAGTGACTGCATCTGTAAAATATTTAAACACTCTTCATTAAAGCCCCTAAAGACCAGTTGACAAGAGGCATGCGGTGCTCCTCGGGGCGCATCTCGCTCTGCTCCCCACAGCCGTGGTGCATGGCCCTTGGTCAGATGAGGCACAGTGCCAATTTTCATAGCTTACCTTTAAATGACTTAAAAGTAAGTGAAATCACTCCAATTTTAGTTCAACTTAATGTGTCCATTCCTTTGTCAGGTTATACAGATGCGTGCCTTGTGCCTGTTTCCAATGGGGAACATGTGTTCTAAGTGCACTCTTAACCACTGCAGGGTAAATTACAATCCCCTGAAATCATTTACAATTAACCTAAACTTTCAAAATGCACTTCTGGGTCTCCTTCCTTTATCTGAAGTAGTCTTTTCAGAAAATAATCTCTTAGTTCAGGTAAACAGAGATACCAGATAGACAAAACACTGTTGGATTTTGCCACTTCTTTTCCATAACTTACAGGCTGTTTGGTGACTTCAGGGTTTGTTTGCTTCACTCTCTCTGGTCAGAAGGGGCACACAAGGTTTCCCACAGCCAGATTTTGCTTATTTCTATTCTTCATCCCTCTCTAGGGACAAGGACATGTTTTTTTATCCTTCTGAAGGACAAACCCGTACTGGAGCAACCTCTGGTACTCCCTCCCTTGCATATAAGCTAAACAGAAGTGAGCTTTGTGTGAAAGGTATGAATAGCACTGGCACTCAATATTGTTTCAACTGTAACTCAGTTTCAGCTAAAAGGATTTATTAAAACATTTAGCTCTATTAAATGACCCCTCTACCAAACACGTGCGTGCACTGGGTTGTTTGCTTTATAGAACATACAGGTATGAAGACCAATTTCCTACTGCTTTTTTTCCAACAAATCAGAAGCTTTTTTATGCTACCACTCTGCTTCAGAGGAGACTGCTGTTTTCATTTGGTCTTCATCACATGCTTCTCTGCATTTTTCCAGTTCACAGATGCTAAATTATATGTACTGGAAATAAATGCTAGAGCTACACCAGTGGAAGACTAAGGTCCGGTCACTTGCACATTAACAGTACACGTGCCAGAGGCCCCAGGAAGGCTGCACTGAGCTGCTGCTGAGGTTGAAGTATGCTTTGGTCTCAATAACCCCTCACCAGGGAAAGCCTCTACAAGGCTCCACTGTCTGCATATCGCACTGAATTGCCTTTGGGTCACTGCAGGAATGGGCTTTCCCAGTCAAGGCTGAAAATATCCCTTTAGCAAACACAGTCTGAAAAAGCTGTGTGCATGTAAACTTTCCCCAACTTGATACAGAATGGTATTATAAAATATTGAATACCAAGGGCAAGAAAACAAATATAGATACAGTCTCATATCATTTCAAAATAACAAATGGCTGTCAGTCCTCAGTCTGGAATTATTCCCAGTGGGTTAATTCTTTTAAAATCCAAGACTTTGGATTACCACTTGCAACATGTGAGAAGAGCTGCAGAGAAGGCAAAGACAACCAGCTCCACATTTAATATTCCTAGAAGGTCAAAAAACTAAAAGTGACAAATACGGTGTTTGAGTTCCCTTTTAAATGGGTGTAATTAATTAGAAATGAAAACAGTTGCTTAAGTACTAGATGTTAAAAGAGGAAGCACACCCTGCAAGTCATTATCATATGCCCAGAATAAATTTCTGCAGTAGTGTCAATCTAATAGTTGTCAACAGTGAAACTAAAGCGTTAGTCACTGACTGCTCAGCAAATTGTGTGTTTGGAACAGGAAAGGCAACCATCCATAATTTATCCTAAAGGACATCCTTTATTTTCTCCACTATGTGGAGGGTTAATGGAAAGCTAATTAAAAAAAAAAACAGTAAAAATACTTTACAGAACCAACATTAAGAAATGTGGCTGTTTGTATAAGCATTATTTTACGCAGAACTCAGCCTGAAGACCCCCCTAATCTTGCTAAGAAAAATTAACCCAAAATCTGAAGAAAAAAATCTGTATGTTTTCTTGAGACAGCATTACACACCCAGAATACGAATAATGCACTCACTGCAAATGTATCTTATTGCACTGCTAACTCAAATAAAGACGTGGTATAATGGAAAAAAAAAAAAAAATCTTCTCCAAGGCACATCTCTAAAAAAGAAGTGGAAAGCATGTATTTCTTAGGGTAAATGGGAACATTTATTTTGTGTGTATTAGTAAAGATAGCAATTATTGTTGTCATAAGGTTTGTTTTAGTTTATGCACAATTTTCTTAGTTGCCCTTGATAGATTGTCAGCTGCAAGGCAGCATGCAAACAGAGCAGTTATTTTAACATAAACCTTAGAAGCATAGTTTCTAAGAATAAATTCTTCAAACAGTTTTTGTAGCTAGTCAGTAATCACAAAAGTTTTCTGCTGTAGAAGCAAGGAATGTGTGGCATTAAATCTTTGCAGTCATCTACACAGAGCAAGTGATGGTGTCACCAGATTCAGCAGAGCTGGTTCCTCAGATTCGCTGAGGGCTAAAATTGTATCTCCTGGTGAGATGAAAATGTCACAAGTTGCATACGATAAGTTCATTTCTCTTTCAATTAAGGAGAAAATTCATAGACTGACTGAAAATTATGTATTTTTCTCTGTAGCTCATTATCACCAAAATGTGGAAATATCTGAGTGTTTCACTATGATGCTGCTCAAAGGAGATTTTTTTATTTCTGTTCAGACATAAGTATGTAGATACTGTTTGTTTCTTCAAGGAATATTCTGGACTGAAATACTGAGTGAGTGAGGATAATTACTGGGAGTCTTCCAGTGCTAGAGCTTTTTTTTTTTTTTTTTTTTTTTTTTTTTTAATTTATAACATTTATAATGGCCATTCCTACCAGAAATGGAGCAAAAACTTGCTACATGAAGATATGATAAGAGCTAAACTTCAAGTGGAAGTTAATAACAATGACACGTGGAAAGCATTTACTAATTGATATTTTATGATGCAATAATACTTATTTAAAATTCTGTGTATGGATTTTAACCATAAACTGAAGCTTTAAATAGCTGTTGTCTAGAGGGAAGTGGAAGGAGAGCAGCAGCAGAGATTCAAAAATTAATACTGCGCTGAAGTAAATGACTTCACCTAAAACTGCATCTTAAATAAAATATTTTCACTTATTTTTCATGCACTACCACCTTATTTCCAACCAAGACTTGTAGTCATTTACCATCAACCCGTAAGAACTGCGGAGAGCTGCGCTTCCATTGCTGTTCTTTGTAAGACAGCAAATGCTCTGGGAAGAGAAGCCTGAGTTTTATTTAAAAATTTGCACACGCCCAGCTCGCGGGGCTGGCTCTGAGCTGTTCCTGCCATGCAGCAGATGAGGAGGGACTGAGCTTATTAAAACCACATCAGGCAACACCGGAATTCAAAGCCTTCCTTCCAGTTGGAAAGCTTAGATCGAGACCAAAGCCAGGCCGGACGTGAAAACAAAAACTCAGAACTGAAAATCCCCCAAAGGCCCAGCCTGCTCCGTCTGTGCCTGCCGCTGGCTGTGCACAGCCGCCAGGCCCCAGTTTCCCAGGGGTTCTCCATGGCTGGGCACCTTTCCTGCTGCCACAGGGACACGGCAGCCACCAGGAGCTCAGCCCACGGCACGGCCAGGGCGGCTGCAGCGGCCGTGGAGGTGGGTACGGGGGCAGGGGGCTGCTGGCGGCCCTTCCCGAGCCCCCACGGGGACGGTAGCTCTGCTCCATCCTGAACATGTGTTGAAATGTAAAGCCACCGCCCGCAGCAGTCGGCACCGGGACTTCTTGCTGACTCTGAGTTAAAAATAAGACCTGCAAAGTTTGTGTTTTTTATTTTCTTACACTCTTCTCCAGTTCCGTGCAGATGTCGTTTGCAGTAAATGACTGTGCCATTTTGTCTGGACCAGCAGCTACGCCAACAAATAACTTGATTTAAAATTGTTATTTCTTAACGCATAAACATTGAAACATAAATATAACCTTTTTTCAAGAATCAATTAACTTGTGGATCCTTGAACAGGGAGCTCCAAAGTCCTGGAATAAAAAATGCATTCATGAAATCTGGTTCATGGGTAACTCATTCTCATTAGATTTTTGCCAGACATCACATTTCCAAGCTCATTGCGCTTGGCCTTTTAAAGATGCTGAACAATTCTGGAGGTGTATGGAAAGCCCTGAGGTTCATTCTCCCTCATTCCTTCCTTCCTTGCTGTTAGGAGCTGCCTCAGCCCTCCTGGCGAGCACGCCAAGCATGCTGCAGCCTCACCCTGTGTCAGTGCGTGGCCATTGGAAGAGCCTGGACCAAAATGCTCACTTAGAGCAGCCCCCAAATGTGGTGGGAACACACCAGTTAAGTGTGGTTCCGAGCTTTAGCATGTAATGCTAAACCTTAGTAAGATTCAGGTGAGTGAATCTTTTTTTTTCTCCTGATGCTTGTATAAATTGTGAGGCTATGGCTTCAAGGGAAATTTTAGGAATTAGAGTCCCCCACATAGGATTCAGTGAAAATGAAGTGCAGATGTAACAAGTGTTAACTACAGTGCCGATGCTCTGGGATTTTGGCAATCTCTGCAGCAGAAGTGCTGGAGGAAGTTACAAATTTAGGCCAGATCTGAATGAATTCTGTGTCACAGTTCTAGACCCAGAAGGTGACTTTTGCTTCCTCTGGCTCTGGATGCTCCTCATCCCACTGCAATACGGGGCTGAGGGGTGCATGAGGCATAATGATAGATGGAATGATTTTGTGTGGTTTTAATGAGGAAGCTGCATTACATGGGTCTGTATGTAGCATTGCATTAGATCAGTTTTCTGCCTTCTGCAAAATTGATTATATACCCATTTATCACCTCCTACGTTCACACTAAACTCATTCCATTTGCCTTTTCTTTTTCTTCGGATGTGCATTTTACACCATGAAAAACGACAGCACGTTGGAAAGAACGAATAAATATCTCAGTAAATTCCAAGAGTTTAACTCACATCCTCAAACACATGGGATAAAATAGAAGGAAAACCATGGTCAAATGTGCAGGTTACGTAAGTTGACATATATCTAGCTGGAGATGCTGAGTTTTCCTCTTGCCCAAGTAGTTCAGGGATTTCTCTGCCGAAGCCAATGGAATTTGGTCTATGTAAAAATGGAAACAGTCTGTCTGAGTTATAAATGGCACTTGCTGCCAGCAGAATCAAAATCATGAGGAGCAAAGCTCCTACCATCGGGAGCTGGAAGAAAGGGGACTGGGGAGCAGGGGATGTGATGGCTCTATCACAAAAAAATAAAATAATAAAAAATAATAATAATTAAAATAAGACCTGTGAAGTATTTACAGAATAATAATCCACTGCTTACCTTTTTCCTAAAACCCCAGCAGCTTTAGGGCACATTCCCCTTCCCACCCTTGTTGCACCTGCTGGGAGCCCCCCGGGTTGTCCAGGCACAGCCCCTGCCAGCAGCACTCCTGGCACTCCCGCTCCGTCTCGCCCGGCGCTGCCCAAAGCTGCCGCTGGGTTTTCGCCAGCGAATTCTGGTAATTGTATTACTCTTGCAATATGAAGTCAGCGCAGACTTCCCATTACTAAATTTAAGATCCTCCTCTTTTATACACGTTCCATAGAGAAATAATATTTTGGGCTTGTGTTTGATGGTGTTTATTCATAGGCAAAACACCAGGGAGATTTCTAACAACACTGTCTCTTCCCAATTAGCTGCAGACCTGCGAGGCATCTAAGAAATGCTTTTATGCTTTGTATAGAGTGTTTGATGGAGGTACTTAATTTAAAATTTTAAGAGTATTACATGTGGCAGGTTATAAATCTGAGAAAGAGGAAAGAGAATAAATAGAGAAACCACGCTGGATGTTTGTTTTTGAAAGTGCTGACTTTAGCAGTGTGAAGATGTTTTTGGTTCAGGCTCAAGAAGGCACTTGGGTAAGAAGCACCACACTGCTGCATCAGGGCAGGATTTTCTTTGGGGAAAGAAAAAATAAAAGCTGTATTTCCAAGAATCCGTGAGTGTAACCTGTTCTAAACAATCTGCAATACAGAAACCTATTTGAGCAAAACCAGGGCTGGATCTGGAGGAGAGAATCATGCAGCTGGAGCCAGGCAGCCTTGGCCATCATGGGCGCAGCTGGGAGCTGGGGGCGGATTTAGGGAGGTGGTCCCGGGCTGGGCTCAGGCTGAAGGGCAGGTGGGGGGTGGCCAGGGGGTGTATGTGTGTAGCTGGTGGTGGTCCTGTTTCCTGAAAGCTGGTGCTGTGGCACCTGGATGTCTGGGGCTGATGGTAAGTGCTCCCTGGGCAGGAGGACCAAGCCTTCTGCTGCCGTGCAGGAGTCTGCCAGGAGCGACTTACAGGGACTTGGTAGCTCCTGGCAGTGTCTAAGTGATGTCCTTATTAAATTTAGAGGAAGGAGAACTGCCTTTCCTGGGATGAAAGGAGAGTGTTGAAATAAGAACTCTTCAAGAGCTAGTGCTGAAGATTTCTTTTAGAAATGTGTGTAGAAAAATCATGTTCTGCATCTGAAAGATTCGTGTTATCAAATATATATATATATATATACATATATACACATACTTTAAAGAGAAAGCTTGTTGCAGTTGTGCTTTGATGATTTTCCCTCACGTGAACACAGGCAATTAGGAGCTTACAGTCCGTTCCTTAACATGCTACTTAATTATGAACCAAGATGTTGAGCTAATTAAGGAGTGATTGCAGTTAAATGCCTGATCTGCCTTAGCAATTGAAATGTATTTTGTGCCTTCTGTAGTGTGGTGGATTACAAATGCAGACGTCGTGGCTGCGGGCTGAGAAGGGCCTGGGGCTTGCGTTGCTCTTCCTTTTGCAGGCAGGAGCCCGTCAGCCCGCGCCAGTCTGCTGCACCATCCTTCATCCTGGTCTAGCACCACAGGTAAGAAAAAGGTTGTGATTTGTAACCAAGAAAGGGGGCTTCCTGTTCTAGGTTACAAAAAACCTCTGTAGCTCCCTGCCCCATGGTACCCCCCACAGCCTCCCAGCCTTCACTACATTGTCACCTGTGGTTTGCTTTAAACCCTTGGTTAAGCCCTAATGCAGTGAATGGCTCTTAAAGTACCTACACATTTAATGAAAGTGCTCAGTATTTACTTTTTTTTTAACCTTTTCTGTATGTTTCTCAACAAAATAATTACAATGGTGGTCAAGTGTATTTTATCACAGAAGGTGGTACTGAAGGTTTGTCAGCTGGTTTTTATTTATTTTTTTCTCACCTTATTGTTGCATCCTTGCTCTGGAAAAGAATTTCTGAAGGCATTTTTGATGCTCTGGGAGTAGAGGAAGGGAATGTGATGTTTCTGTAGGAGTAGGTGGGGAAAAGGCTGTGTAATGTGCTTCGGATAACTATAAGCTGTAAGACCTTCACCCCACAGCATCTTCCATGTAAGTCTTAACTTTATTACTTCCTGTAAACAAAGCTAATAATGAAAGCAAGATAATAATACCAAAAATAAAATGCTTGGGACCATCTGGAAATCGAAGGCTTACTGTTGGTCCGACACACCGCAGCCATCGCACCGCAGCTGGGCCGGGCCCACCTGAGCGGTGTGGGTAGCAGGGCATCGATCCTGTGCACTGCAAATACAGAGCTGTAACAGTCTAGGAAATAATATTTTGTTTAAACATACCTAAATACAAGTAAAAGAAGCTATTCTTCTGCAAGTTAATACGGTTAAGTGATGCCTAAAATGGGGAGCCATTTGGGGAAAAAGTTGGACAAATTCTTCTATTCTTGTGGAGATGTTTTCCAAAATGAAGACCATACTAGATCTCCACCAGTGTAGGTAAATTAACGAAGGGTACCATAAGTTACAGACCCTTAGAGATGTAAGTGAGCCTCTGTTGTAGAAGCAGCTATTAGTAATAGCCTCTCCAGGAGGATTTATTTTATGTTTTAGAAGTGGTTTTACATACCCGTGTGAGGTGCTGCTATGGAGTTATATTTGCATCCATGTGGGATGTCTTCTGTTCTTAAAAATGCTGACATTTCCATGGCTCCAAAATGTTCAGCGTAGATGGAAACTCAGTTTCAAAAGCTGATGTGAATTAATGCTGTGATATGGCCAAACATTTGCCTGCTACAGAAGGCGTAATGTTTTACCCAGGCTGCTAGGAACATACTTCAAAAAGGGCACAGATGCAGTTATTGGACACTAAAATTGAGCAAGAAGTTACTAAGAGAAAATCCAGCTGAGGGAGCCCACAAAGCTGCTTCTGTCTGGGGTTTAAAAATAAAAATAATAATAACGAAAACCTCAACATCTAATCGTTCCCCAACCATGAAACTGGCATTTTTCGCTGATAGCACTGAACTGTGATTCTCGCTGCTTCTTCAGAAAAGAAAAAACATGCCCAGTATGACAGTCTGCCTGCTCTGGTAAAAACATTTGTTGTTCAGAAGATCTAGTTAATACGGAGCTGTTAATTGTCTGACCATTAAATTACTTGGCTTCTACTTAGTCCCCACTGGGGACTAATTTTAAATTCAATTAGCACAGAATTTAAAGGAATATGGTTGAGGGATTGTAGAAGGCTACAGAGATATGAAATTGTGCTTGATAAGATGCAGCCAGGAAAGGGAAGCTTTTAATCTCGATTTCAAGGTGTTGAACCAGGAAAAACTCCTACAGAGAAATGAGGTTCCCTTTGAATGCACATACACAAATGAGATTCCTTTATGGTAATGCACTGTGATTTCTTAATGTATTTCAAACAAACTATTAATTAGAATTAGGATCAATCAATAAAAACCTCAGGAATTAAAGGTCATGGGGTGTATCTATGGGTTCACACATTGAAGTCTTAGCCAGTACCTGAAGAATCCAAAGTGTCTCAATGCCACTTCCATCATTTTCACTCAACCACAAGCAAGACCAGCGAGAAATCTTGCTAGCTGGCCTGATTTTCAGATGAATTTTGCAACTGCAATAAATTTAGGCAAGCGCTCAGCTCAGAGACTGACTGTTCGTTTTACTACACACAAATACAGCCGCTTTTATTTTAAACTGCTGAGAGGTTTATGGAGGTGGAGCATAGATTTGCAAAGTGAGATTTGGCTCAGGCTGATCTTGCTTGAGAAAACCTTCATCAGTACCACCATGAACCTCCCTCTGCTCCTAGCATGCCTGCCTTGATAGCAGCAATGATAATAGCAGTTAGATACTCGTTCTACCATTGCAAAATAAATATAGACTTCTTTTCTGAGTGATGTTTATTTTATAAAGCTGTTTGCATTGGTAGAGCAGCAGATGAACTAGCCCTCTTTCAGATTTTGAATTGTGTGCTAGACTTCTAACAAAGTCACTGAAGCAATGTAGGGAGAGCACTATTATGTGCTAAACGACAAATGCATCACTTACGAAGAGATCACATACTAAAGGTGTAGTGCTTTCCCTGAAAGGACGTGTGTAAGTCAGTACTCTGGGGTGTACTGGTGGCAAAAGCTCGTTCTGGAAGCCATGTGAAGAGCTGCATTGCTCCTGTGCAGCAGCTCCTTAAAGAGACTTTCGTGCAGCCATGGGTCTGACTTCTGTCGGATTTTCTAAGACTCTCAAATGCTTTAGGGGCTTATCTGGCTGTGGAATTCAGTTGGGATTTGGCTTTTTTTTTTTTTAATTTTTTTAATTGCGATCTTTTGGGTGGTTATCCCTGTTATCCTCTTCTCAGAAGGTCAATTCTGATCATTTAGAGTTCTGGAAATGTGCTCAAGGCATTGAATTCCCTCTCTGGCTTCCCAGTATGCAGATCTGCAGGCACTGGTGGGCAACAGAGATCACCGCATCCACCCCATGAGCACTGGACGTGCCCTGGCTTCTCTTCCTTTCATTTGCATCATTATTATTTTTTTAACACTTTTATCACACTTGCTCGTTACTCTCAGAAGCACGCAACCAAAGGCAGAAGTATGTCAGAGCTGCTGTTCGCTGGTTTGGTTTGGGTAATGCTGTGGTTTCCTTGAGGAAGGAAGCAGGATGCTTTCTCTCTATGCTTCTAGTGGGTTCGCAGCTGAAAAACAGAGATGTTTCCTTAAAGGAGCCAGTGTGCAGCACCCAAAATATTCGATCTGCCTGACTACTGAAACGGTACAAAGGAGCTCATCATGTAGACTTGGGTATACAGATTCATGTCACTTACGTGCTCCTCTTGTGTGACTTTATTAACATTTGAGATAAGTTTTGGTGTAGATCAAGGAATTGTTCAGAGACATCTGTGCTGGAATGTGCAAATAGCTCTCTGCCTGCCTGCAGTCTCGGCATCCGTCTGGATCCCAGCTTGGGTGGCATTAGCAGCAGTCGGGTGAAAGCCTGTTGTGCTGGTGGGATGTTCCCATCCGTCACTCCATGGGCCGAGGCCCCCGCAATCAGGGAGGGGCACGTGGTTTTCTTGAGATAGAGTTTGTGTGCTTCAAATCTTCATCCTTTCATAAACCAAATGTCACGATGTGTGCGCTGCTCCTTCCTGTTGGAAAACTCCCAGTGGACATGTGTTATTTTCACAGCTTTGCTCTCTGTCGTTTCTCTCCTTTCCTTATTACTTTAATTGTCCACTTCTTGTTTGTTTTGATGTGTGTGTACATTTTTGGGAGCTCCTGGGCAACTCTTGCAAATAGAACTCTCTTAAAACAACAACAACAACAAGTTTATATATAAGCAACAACAAAAAAGGGCCCAGCAAAATAACTAAAATTAAACTTAAACTTTTTAAAGGATGCTGGTTTTATTTTCCTTCATTTCTCTGGCACATATCCACTCAGAAACAGTGCTTGCCAACTCATCTTAATTTTGGATAATTACATTTTTGCAATTTCTAATTTGCTAATCTATAGTAATTTTCTTGTGATTTTTAAAAGGCAGAAGGGGGAGTAAGGAAAGCTGATTTGTGATCAGAGTTCTCCCTTCTATAATTAACTACATCTAAAAAACCATAATTGATGCTTATATAGCTTCCCAATAGCATCTCCTGAATTGGAACACGCAGCATTGTATACTGCGCTTTCTGCTCTGAAAAGATTGATTTGCAAGCCACTATCAATCTGTTGCTAAGCAGTTAGTGACGGCACACAGTGAAGTCCTCAAGGACAATACAGAACAGCCAGAATGTTTTTCTCAGTATCAAACCTTTTTTTCCCCGTCTCCTGAAATATTGCATCAGTTGCTCCTTAATCAAAGTATAAAAAATGTTGCCAAGGTGATGCCACATTTGGAGCCACAGATCACAGCAGACAAACCTGTGCTGGGAACCGCAAATTTTAGGACTTTCACAGTAGGCAGCAGAGGTGTAATGTGTTTTTGTTGTCACTGCTGTCTTCATTTTATACTCAGCTGATTCTCTCTCTCTCTCTCTTTTTTTTTTTTTTTTTTACTCATTTAAATAGGGTTAGTAGAACAGCAGAAGAGCAGTTAAAGTTGGTTTTCTTTAGATAAAGCTGGTGAACTTGGCTTCACTCATCTTTTTTGGCTGAGAAGCAAAAGCAGCTGTCAGAAGAGCTGGTCTTTCATGTTGTAAGATGAGGCATTGCTAAAAAAAAGAAAAAAAAAAATCTGCCAGAGATGCAGAATGACGCAGGGCTTCATATCTATGCCAGAAACCTCTGGAGTGGACAGGAGCAATGTGTGCATCAATCTTGCATCTTGCCTGTGTTTGTCTTGAGAGTCTGTATAGAGCAGAAATACACATTTTAAACTTAGCCCAGAAATCAAATATTCTTTCACAAGCCTGCTGATTCTGTTAAGACCACAGGGGAGAGAGACAGCACACGTATCTCTGCCTCTAAGGCAGAAGAGAAGCCTCCCTTGCAAAGGGAGGAAGGACAGGAGGAGACCGATGAAGCCATTAATTTGTATGTATTTTATTTATGAGAAGATGCAGATTGAAAAC